TCTGCTGAGATATTTACTAAATTTTGGCATTGGGCTATTGTCATCCTTTTTTCAAAGCCAAGGAAGGATTCCAAGATTCCTTATAATTCTAGATTAATTGCCTTGACTAGCTGACTGTGTAAGGTTTCAAAAACAATTGTCTTTGCTGATCTTGTTTGGTTCTTTGAATCAAACAAACTTCCCTCCATTATACATTGTGATTATTGGTTTCAGAGATCTACTTTGGACCACTTCGTTCACCTGAAATGTCAATCAAAGAAACTTTTCCTGAGAAGGAGCATCTTTTTTATCTTTTGGCTTCTAACATTTTATGGAGTTTGGTAATTTGTAGGATCTCCCATCTGTATGGGTTTCATGGTAATTTTTACTTGTAACTTTTCAGCGTACGGGTGAACGCTTCACACCAGAGCTTCAATTGCTTCAGGGTTGCTGTGAGTGCCACAGTTTTTATTTGCATTAAAATTAATTCCATCACTGAACTGATATTTCCAACAGTTATAAACATTTCTTGTGTCTTTTGACTTTCATTTCCTGCCAGCCAACAAATATGAGGTATAAAGAGCAGCTGCTCCAAACAACCTTCAGTAAATTACTTGAGTGGATCACTGCAGATGATTTCAAATTTTCATCATCTAAAATGTTTGTAAGCATTTTTTCCACTAATGGATTTTGCATCCTAATCCTAACCTTCACATGGTAAGTGCATAGATGCCCATGGTAGCAAAGTTCTTGGGTCTTCTTTTTTTCTACTTCATTTCATGCAGCTTAATTTCAAATATATGGACACTTAATGGCCTCTGCATTTTCTCTTTCACCTCAAGAGGAGCAGATATATGTTCAGTGCTTAGAATTTATTGTGCCATTATTCAGTTCAAAATGGACTTAACTCTTTCAGCACGGGCCCCTGGGACTGACCTCGTAACCGTTTTATGCTTGTTATAGTTTTCATACTATAACTTTTAAATTAGTAAGCAAATGTTAATGAAATTTTGAAGATTATCAGTAAACATTACAATGCTTTCATATGCAAAATATCAAATTTTTTTTATCA